TTTTATTTTAACTTTAATTATTTATTTTATTTTTATATTTATTTCTTTTATTTTTGCACAAGATATGGTCCATCAACATCAAGACAATAAAAATTACTTTTACCTTAAATTATAATTTTAAAAAAGTGGTACGATAGGGCTCCAGGCGACGATTCACTTAAAAAAAATCGAACGCGCCTAGTTAGTGGAACCTCAAAGGTGGTGTGGAAGACCACTATTAATAACACTTAAAATTACTAATGAACTAATAATACGCTACACATACTTTAACATGCTAACAAGAGTGCAAAAAATCTTCGATCTATTTGACTGCATTTGTAAGATGTATTTGACTGCATTGTATGTTACCGTTTCTCCACTAATCTCCACAGTACAGTAACTTTTGCTAATATGCAGTAATTTAAAATAAATAGTTAAACATTTTCCAAGTGTGTAATCTTTCAATAGAGATAAATGTTAAGAAGCAAGCGTGGCTAATCGATTAAGGCGAGTGGCAGGAATATTGAAAATCTTGTATTTGAAAACTGCTTTTGTAACATTTTTTTTCTTTTTCGATATTTGTTTCTAGCACTGTACCATCAAGTGAATCATTAGATAATGCTTTTGGCTAAAAAATATTATTTTATATTTATTAACAATAATTGCACATGTTAAATTGCACTTTGTTGCAATATGTATGTTGTAAAATGACTTCATTTTTCTATTTATAATAGCAAATTAGTATTCTTTTTAAAATAATTAGTTATTAGTTTAACATATGCAAATATATTATTAATATACGAAATAATATTTTTTAGCCAAAAAACATTATTAACTAACTTACACTGTTAGAAACAAATTTGGAAAAAAAGAAAAAAAAAGTTAAGCGAAAATACAAGTACTCGAATACGGGACTTCGAATCCGCTAGGCACTCGCCTTACTCGATTAAAAGCGCTTGTTTCTGAGCATTAGCCGTCCGCAATGTGTTTACGTCGGCTCGATGGTAGCAAGACAGAGACGTCCGCTCTCTCTCTATAGCCGAACGGCCGAGCGCACACAGACGCGTGACGTAAGCGCTTCTTACTTGTGTTGGGGCTCGAGAGCCGCGAGCCCGGTAGTAGATACCGCATCACTGGGCTGAAGCATAGTCATCAATCGACCAGTAAACCCACTTTCGACGTTCAACGATGCATCGTATTTGACCCTCCGTGAAATATGGTTTGAGTATTTCTTTTACCTGCTCTTCGGACAGTTTTTGCACAAGATTTTTGTTGACATTGGCTGTCACAGATCTAGCATGGAGATCATTGAGTGTGTTTTTCAATTCCTCGTTTTCTCTCATAAGATTTTTTTATACGGTCATCTTTCTGAAATAATTGCAATTTTAATGCATCGCATTCCTGTTGAATCGATCGTCGATCTTCAAAACCGCGTAGCTTAGACAGTACGTGAAATTCACCAACTGAACGGCGATGTTGTAATTCAACCATCAGCCAGTCAATTGTGACGTTCGGGTCATTATTAGTTGTTGACTTGTAGACGCTGCCGCTAATACTGCTACTACAATTTTCCATCATAAATCTAGAAAAATATATTCATGTATTTAAAATGTTTCAATATTAAATATACGTGTAAACATGATAAATATATAATGCCATCGAAAGTGTGTGAACGCAAAGACATTTCTCAAACTGTATCTTGTTGGAAAGCACCCATTATGTGAGATCTTTGAACAATATTATACAAATCGTTTTTTAACGGGATTTGCAAAAAGATCAATATACATACCGCTGTTTACGCTTCCACGATGGAGTACCCTCTTCGCTGGCGCATTCTTGGACTTTCGATGCAACCTCGATGCCCCTTTTCACAGCAGTTCTGGACGATATCTTTCCCGCTGTACTTGTACGTAGGATGTTTCGGCAAACAACATTTTTCTTTCTTTGAGATCTGCAATAAGAATGATTATTCACTCTGCTAACACAAGTAATATTAAAGAATAAGTTACGGAAAATGGAATCGTTAATTTCAACATGCCTTCTCGGAAAAGTAGCACCATATACGTTGTCACATGCATTATATGAGCTCGGTGGTGTTCGACATATTAAACATATATCATCCAGTCGTTGACTGCAATAAAAGTATGAAAGAACATGCAATAAAAGTTTGAAAAAACATGCAAGAAAAGAATGTTCTAAATTACATACATATAGAAAAACACTTCTAATCGCAACAAATATCGACACAAAATTGCATAACGATTCGATAAAACTTCATCCTTAATACTCACATTTAAACATCAGTATGTACAATTTTCAGAAAAAGTCACTTTTATGAATCATTGCATATTAATTTGTATTGGAAGGCTATTCTTTGAAATATTATTTGTCATAAAAGAAATAAAATAATTTTGCATTATTTTCTTAATTTTCAGAAACATTTGAAGCCTATCCAGACAAACTTGCATAGTCGCATAAACATAAGGAAATTGATTGGTCCATACGCAAATGCATAAAGAAATGGACCAATTTCTAAGTATACTATCTAAGTATTTAAAAAAACGTTGCAAAACGCGATATTTTAGGAAAATCATTTTAGCTCCACTTTCATGCAATTTCAGTTTCAAATTTGGGCTAATTTATGATTCTTACCTGCTAGACTGATATTCCGATGCTTCGATGTCATTCGTTTTTTCCCCTGCATTCGATGAACCACCGACGCTATCGTTTTGCAAAGATTCTTCTGCCATTGGTTGCCTGAATCCATTTCAGTAATTGATCTTTCTTTCATACATGTTTTGACAGGAAGTAAAAAATCTTTGTAGATTACTTTGCAGTTCATGCGAACGGTATCGCCAATGCTAAAAATAAAAAATTATACTTATTATGAAATTATAACATAATAAGAGTGTACATTGTAATATGGAATATATTTTACTGATATTCATAGTTACCTATTTTCCATTGATGACAAAAGTAACGTTGGAACTGCACTTGGAATAAGCTTTCGTCTTCGAATGCCATCTCTATTTTTATGATTCCTCTTTCCTTTTAAGAATGAATCTTCCGTGAAATGTGCAGAACAGATTCTTGCTGAAAACAATGTAAGTGATATAAACATACATTATAAATGTTCAAAATGGGGGTAAGAAAGATATGTTTTATACAGTGCAGTAAGGTAAACATTGTCATGCAAAACAAAAATGCAATACATGAAATAATTTGACATATGTACAGAATATTGTCACATTGATATTTACATTTTGAAGTATATTTACATTTACAATATAATATATTTCTTTAATTCTTTAAAACTAAGAATTGCATCACATTCTGCTGTAAGTACAATCTTTGAATAACAAAATATGACATAAAAACCGAGATAATAAATCCATTGGATCAAACATGATTCTGTGTAAAGTAAGCTAAGTGCAATTCGATTCAGCGACAAACTATTCTTCGACTGTGTATCACTGAATATAGATAAATCTTAATAACTCCTATTCTCAAAGTTTCAGTTCAAAAAAAGAAAAACATGATTCATTTATATTTCTTGCTCTAACCTACAAAATTATCTCTCGGTTTTACAAATTATTATCTTTTAATATTATTTAATAAGACTTGTAGGACTTACCATTTTTAATATTTGTAGGCAGATGAATTTCTCCAATTCTTTGAATCCATCCCTCACGCATTATAGGATTTTCCGGCAATTGGAAGAAACTTACTTGTTCCGTTGCACATATCTCCCTAGTGTTTTTGCAGCATTTCACTACGCAGCGTACCATTTTTAATAAACGCGAATTCGATAACTCGGCAGTAACAGTATATCTCGACACTGTTGTCCTCAAAATTTCGCTCGATCCGTTAGACACGTTATTCTGCTGCGGTAATATCCCGAGAGAGAAAGATGATGCAATCACGGTACATGAGACAAAGATACCGTCAACGCAGTCGAGACAACTTGCCGACGTTAAACATTTCATTTTTCATGGTTGGCAGCACTACGTTTTTAGCGACACTTCGGCGAGAAAAGGGGCGTGGTTTAACCAAACCGAGCACACCATGTATACTTCCACCATGCTTTTTCCTTATAGTTGTCTACGACAACTTCGAATAGCTTTGATACTTTATTCTTATATCCGGACATTTTTTAATTTCGTATCTATAAGCGCGTCTATCCGAGCTGTAATGTGAGGAGATAAGTCAAAATTTTTGTGACGTCGCGCTATTTATACTAAAGTTCGCAGGTACCGCGAGGGGGCGCGCTCGGGGGGGGGGGGTAATTACCGCGCTGAGTACGCCGCGTAGCAACGGGTTGTTTACAACGGCGTAGGATCTCGGGGACCTGAAAATCCACGGGTGTCGCCTCAGGGGGACCCTTTCTTATAAGGTGAAAAATTTTATTTTTAATATATTTTTTTTTTAAACAGTGGTGTAGGCTCTGGGGGGCCGTGGTACAGTGGCGTCGGCTCTTAAATTTTACTCAGTTATTTCTTCGCCTGTTTCTATTTCTTTTAGTGCCCGTTTTAGGTCCTGGACGTGTACTTGTCAGTACCATCTGCCTTCAGAGTCTCGCAGGTCGACAATTACCGGTGAAATAATCTTTCGGATTTCGAGCGGCCCAATATATTTAGGGGCTAACTTAGCATTGAATGCTTCGGCTTTGTCGGATAGTAGTCGTTCACGTTTCCACACGTGTTCTCCTATTTTTGGTCGCCAATTTCGTCGTCTTAAATTATAATAACGCTCTTTGAAAGGAGCGTGCTAGTTGTATTTTAACTAGTTCGAAAGCGTCTTCTAGTTGACGGCGACTATTTTCAAGATCTCTTATGTTGCATCTATTACTCCGGTCTTCTGGATGCGGTCGAGATAATTCTTGGCCGTGATTGAGATAAGCCGGTGTGAAGCTGGTGGCTTCGTGTTTCGCGATATTCATTGCAAATTGCAAAGCTGGTATTCGCTCATCCCAATTTTGGTGATCCCGTCCAAAGTATTGAGCAATCATTGTCTTAGCGGTTCGGTTTGCTCGTTCGACAGGGTTACAATGCGGTGCGTGAACTAGAGTCGTACGGTGCTCGATGCCGAAATCTTTCAAAAGATCCTAGAATTGGCGGGACGCAAATTGAGTTCCATTATCGGAGATAATTTGCTCAGGACAGCCATGTCGGTATATTAAACGGTTTGTGACCTCACGGGCAAGATTCGTCGCGGTAGCTCGGCGTAATGGAATCATTTCAATCCATTTGCTGAATCTATCTAGCACGGTTAATAGCCATGTGTGACCTTGCTTGGAACGCGGTAAAGGGCCTATCAAATCGACGGAAGCTTGTTGCCAGGGTGCGATTACTGGAGCGGTGTGTAAATTTCTGGCTGATTTTTCTTGTGGTGTTTTAAATGCCAAACAGTTCTCGCAGCAGCGTACATATTTCGCGATCTCCCGGAACATACCTGGCCAGTAATAAATTTGCGCAATTTGGGCTATAGTCTTGACGATGCCAAGGTGTCCTGCCGTAGGATCGTCATGAAGACATGTTAGAACGGACAGGCGCTGATTTTTCGGTACACACTGCTTCCATTGCTCGGTACTTGGTGTTTCATGGAAGTTTAGATCATGTATTATGTGCCGAAATAATTGCCCGTTTATTATTTTGTAGTCGGGTAGTTCTTCAGGTTTATTCTTTACTGCGGCCTTGATTCTATTGTACCATCGGCAGGCGGTGGTTCGACTGACGGCATTTATTACTGGTTCTCTGGAAAGAGCATCGGCAACGCGATTTAACGCGCCTTTACGATATTGAACATCGTAATCGTATTGCTGCAATTCAAAAGTCCATCTGCCGAGTCGTCCGGTAGGAGATTCTAAACGTTGTAACCATCGTAATGATTGATGGTCAGTCAATACAGTAAAGTGATACCCATTAAGGTAATCACGCATTTTGCAAATTCCCCTGTAACGATACGTTTTTATCTCGCGATCTTATTGTTAAGCGCGGAATAGCTCGCCGGTGCCAGGATTTGGGATAAGCGGTCAGACGGGGAGACTCCAATCAACTAGACCAATTTGGAGGTAAAAATAAATATATTTTTAACTGAAAAAATCACGATACATTGAAATAATAATTATGAAGAGCAAGCGGTAGCCATTACAGCAAGCGAGTGCGGCGTGCAAGCAAGAGCGCGAGGAAAGCGTACAGAAGTGGGTAACGCAAGAAATTAGCGTACTAAGCAGTAGGACGCAAATGGGCGTGCAAAAGCGATCGGGTTAAGCCGCTATGCCCCGGAGTAAGAAACTGTCGCGAGTGGGGGTAACTTAAAGTAAGGCCAGAATCTGCCGCGAAAGAATACAAACTAGCGGACACAAGCTAGAAAAGGATAAACTATTAAATATAAACAAAAGAATACAAACTAGAAAATACAAACTAGGAAGCGCGAACTAAAGAATACTTAATCCTACGGAGGAAGGAACAGTAAACGGATGCCGAGTGCGCCCGGCGGAGACAGAGTGCTTCCTGCTCTTAGAGGAACGGAAAAGTATACGGATGCCGAGTGCGCCCGGCGGAGACAGAGTGCTCCCTGCTCCTAGAGGAAAGGAAGAGCCGAGTCAGAGTGCGCCCTCATGGCTCGGAAGGTCTGCAGCGTGCTCACTGGAGACCGGGTAAGGTCCCTACTGGCCGGAGCGACGGCCTTATATACCCGCTCGCCCCATCGGCGGCCGCATTCCGATGACGTGTTGCGGCCGGCGGCTTGATGCGTCGGGACGATCGTTGCGGCCGATCGCGCGAGT